ATAAGGGGGAAAATGGGGCATTACGATTAGCACACATAATGTAGGGGGCTGGGGACATGGAGAAGGCAGTATATACAGAGAAGACAAGTAATGGTTCTATAGCATCTTACTACACTGATGGACAGTGACTGTAATGGGGTATGTGGGGGGGACTTGATAATAGGGGAAGTCTAGTAACCATAATGTTGTTCAAGTAATTGTACATTAATGATATCAAAATAAAAAATAAAAAACTGGTGTTTTAATGATAGAAAATATTCCATACTAAGAAAATGAATCCTTTTATCTTTTGAGTATCCAATTAAAGTTACGCCATTTCTTCCACTTTTGTGGAGTGCTAGAGAAAAACAAGTAGCATCTTTGATTTTTCACATTGTATTGGTACACGCTAGTCACTCTGATACCTAAGGGAGGCTTCTACTACGTTTTACTTTCTAACTGCAATCACTGGGCATTAGCCAACACCTCACCATTTTCTCTAATTGCTCAGCTTTGAAATATCAATGAAAAGGAATATTTGTTGAAATCTCACCCTTGTAAACCCACCTGAATACCTGGAGCAAACATCAATTTATTGACTAAATAATCCAGAGTGATCTAAAGAGCTGCAAACAGTACTCATGGCAGGCAATGGATGTCAGCATGAAGGAGCAAAACCCCATGGTAGTTTGGCTTCAGTTCTAGTCAAGAGCTTGATTTCTTAGCTGTATGAGTAGGAGGATTATTGCTAATTGGTAGTCATTTTGCCCATCCATTTCATTTCTAATTCCCCAAAGCTAATGGTAAAGTTTCAACCATTTACCACTCTTCTCAAGGTCATTATTCCTCTCCCACTTTTTGACTGTCAACATGAAGTCCTTACTTAAAAAAAAAATACAGGCATCAGGAATGACTTTAAAACCTTTTTATGAACTCACACTTGTGTCTATAACTTTTCCCTATGCATCTCACAATAGGGTATCTGTGTACATGGAGATGAGCGGCAGAGCACTGGGTTCACAGCTTCTTGGAATATTAGTTTTTACTCAAATATTTGGAGAAGATTTGAATTACCGAACTTTTAAAAGTTGCGCAAATGTGAGCAAGTAAAATTGGCAGAGTGGTTATTTCATGGTGGCCATTCTTTATTTCCTTCTGGGAGCCCAAATAAGTGGAAAGTTTTCATTAATTATATTTAATTTAATAATCTGATTTAAATATATAATAAATTTTAAATGATTGGAGTAGATATAAATTTCTCATATTTCAAAACTGGGAAATTTTACTTTATTTTTCTAAAATATAAATCCCCTGAGATAAACATATAACCCTATCTAGCCCTCGACCATCATAACTGGACTTGCTCACATCATGAGGAACGGGAAGAACTCTGGGCTGTCAAGTCTAGATGGTGGGAGAAATACAACACACATCTTTATTATCAGAGGATACATTCAAAATACTTAATGACCAGTAGAGCACAGATACTAAGAATGGAGACTGGCCACTACAAAGTTCCAGTGTGTACTAGCAGTATATCATCCCTGGTTTTCATATCAAACAACAAGGCTCATTCAAGTTCCAAGAATACTGGACACACAGAGACCTTGAGGTGAAGTTTATTCATCATGGACCACAGATAATATGTGATAAAGTTTTTTGAGAACTTTATCATCAACAGTATTCTTGAGACCAGCCTGAGCTACCCACATTACAGAGTCACAGCCTCTGATCCAACTCCCCATACTTAGAGGCCGTTCAATAAAGTAAAAAGCACACATGTTAAGGATTTACTGTAACACCATACATAGGTTACCCTGTCCTTCTCCCCAGCATTCCCCAAAGAAACGTAAGGTACTGTGCACAGCAAAAAACAAGGAAGAGAATTACCAAAACATTTAAGCTAGTATTGGATACTGAGTCCCAGCTAACCTTGGTTCCAGAAACCTATAAAATCACTGTGCTCTGATACAGTCAGACGTGTAGGGTCAAATGCCAAAATGGAGTACTTGCCCAAGGCTAGTGGAACAAACCCACCAACGATTATTTCCCAGCTTATTGGTGTGTACCTGGATGGACATCTTTAGCCACTGGCAGGATCCCTACAAGAGCTCAATGACCTGTGATGTCAAAGGTCATTATGGTAGAAGGGTCAAATGCAAGACATTAGTGTTCCCCAAGCCAGACCTAACACTAACATCCACAGCACCTGGAGAGTTTCAGGCATTGAACTCAATGGAAGTGGGTTTCTTGCTCATGTGACAGTCCAGTATGGGTGGTCCTGGATGGCAGCATCATCCACATAGTAGTTCAGAAATCTAGGACCTTCGCCTTTTAAACCTCTGCCATTCTCTAGAGCATTGCAACACTCTGCATCTACACGGTCACAGGGGGGATAAAAGACGGCAAAAGAATCACAGGGCATTTTATGTGTCTTGGTCTGAAAATGGTAGCCATCATTTCTACTTAACATTCCTTTAGCTAGAACACAGTCACATGATCACACTTAACTATGAAGAAAAACTGCTAGCTATAGCCTAGAGATAATTCCAGGGAGAACAAAAGGATAAAGATTTTGGTGAATAGCCAGTAAGCCTGCCACATGGGAGAATTTGAGAGATTTATGTCATGTCAAACACTTAAAAGATGAACTTCTTCCTAAACCTGTATCAGTAGATTCATTGGCAACTCCTTTGGACCGGATGACTGAGGATGAACAACTGGCTGGTTTTCCAGATGGTTCTCCAAACTTCTCTCTGACAGCTAGTGCAGACGACTATTCAGTTACAGTCCTACTTATTTGTGGCCCTGAAAGACAGAGGAAAAGGACCATTCTTCCAATGGGCAGTCTTTTGAATTGTACCTCTCCTTTTCTGCTATTTCTGCTAAAAAAAGGAAAGCCCAAAGAGTTTCTATCCCAATGCGTAGGCACTGGCTAATGGTTGGTCCAAATGGAACCCTCAGAATAGACCAAGACTAATGATATTTATGTCCATGTGAAGGCTTGCCCCTGTTTAAGAGGTGCTCAGGAAAATGATGACAACCACGACACGTGTAAAGGATCCTGAAGGGAAGACATAAACACCTGGTGGAGCTTTATGAGTAGCTGCAGAATGAGGATGATAGGTAATTCAGAGATTCCAGACACAGAGCTGAAGGCACTAAATGGTTATCATTTTGGTTAGTCTGCTCTACAGTGCCTGAGCATTTTCTGTTTGAGAGAGATTTGTTACATCACCTGAGGGTATTTAAAAGGTATTATATACGTGGAGCAAAGGTGCATGTGTTAGTGTGTGTATGCATGGTGGGCTGTTGACAGAATCTGGTGGGTATCTGTTATTTTTCTTACATCAAGCACCTTCTTCATTTTCATAGCGAATCAGAAACCTACTTTGGGACGCTGTTTCCCATTCAAAGTCATCACTGAAGTGTAGGAATAACCCAGTCCATGCTGATTAGACATCTCTGCTTGTAATTTGAATCTGATGAGCAGAGAGGCCCTCATGAGGTAGACAAGAATGGTAGCACAGGTGAAAAGATGTTCTTGGACTTCTGGCTGCTGCCCAGCCATCCTCACTCTTTTCCATCACAGACTAATTGTTTGGCATATCCCTTGATAAAATAACTGATACAGTAAGTTTTTTTCCAAAGATAGTTTTTTCTATTTATTCTTAAGTAGTCAGAATTGAATTCTTTTCTTGGAATCAGATATAAAGGCATAATCTTTTTAACCTACAGATGTTGATTGCAATTTCTTTTTAATTAGTTGCGCCTTTACATCTGAGGTCTTGTTTGGAATCCAAATGCATCTATTCCTTCTGTAATGACCAAAAATAAAGCCACTACGTGAAAAGTTTTTAAATATGGATGTATGTACATATCAACCTAATATATCCAACATTTTCCTCAGACAGATAATATATCAACTGAATAATAAAAGCACACCTATAAAACAATCAATCTGAAAGTGAATACAGTTTATACATACAAAGTAATGCAATGAAATTTGATTATAGTCCCAAAGGAGGACTATTTATCATGACTGGAGAAAGAAGCAGTAGGTATCATTCTTTGAAAGGTGGTGGAAAGTCAGGCGTTTGAATATTGGGCAGGCATTCAATATCAAAATCATAAGGGCCTGACGATCTTTCCTTTGAGACTTCAACCCTAAAATAACTACCTGATATGGAAGGCTTTGACATAAATGGAAAGGACTGGAATCTTTGGATAGAAAAATATGTGCTTCAAAACATGAGGAAATAGTACACACGCACAAGACAGAGTAGTAGGAGAGGATACCTCTTTATTCCTTTTGCTTGGCATCTGTAGGCAAAGCAAAACATTTGGGTTCATCTAATGCATTTCCAATTTGTCCCATGTAATATTTTTTTACTAGAAACTATTGTCTAAAATGACAGGTAAGTGTGCTTCTACCTGAAAGTGTACTGTTGAAATACAAATTTGCAGAGTGTTTTAGTGGATTTCAGGGGGAGAAAGTTGTTATGCTGAAAAAAAAGGAGTCATCATCTAAAAAGTGGTATAGGTTTTGAAGAGCTGTTGTGGTAAAAAAAAAAATCTTTTAGGGAAAAAGTAATATGTAAGTTAAACTGTACACAGAACCAATAAAAGCAAGCTGGAGAGGTGGCAGTAAGCTATGACTCTCCTCCTCTCTGAGTAGCCACCCCAGGCAACCACCTCCAAGGTTTTGGCTAATCTATCCTCTCAGCTTGATACGCTGTAATTTCTTTTCCCAATTCCCCATCATCCACCATCTAAACTTCCCTACTTGCTGATTCTTGAACATGTTATGAACTTTCAGGCCTTCAAGGGATTGTTTATGTTTCGCTCTCTCACTAAATATCTTCACTTTCTCCTCAAAGTTTAAGAAGACCCTACTCATTTTTCAATTCTCAGTATATATGTCACCAACCCTAAGCCCCACCTTAAGCAAAAATAAATACTTTGTCATGTGTATTCTTTCGCCATATGATTAGACTTCCATTCCAGTACTTACCATATTTCATTATAATTCGTTGTTTATGTGGCCAATTCCTCTGTAAGTTCTTCACAGAGAGGAATTCTGCCTCGTTTGTTTTTGTATGCTCTGTATCCAGCATAGTGTCTTGTTCATCAAAACGATGACCAGCAAATAGGAGTTGATTCCTTGGTAAATGAGACAAAAGGAGAAGAATTTTAAGAACTATTTGATGATTATAGTGGAGTATGAATAGAACTGAATATCCAGGTGGTGTTAAAGTTCATGTTTTGAGAATGCTCTCTCCTTAAACAATGTAACAATTAAGACTAAATATAAAATAAAAATTTTAAAGATGGTCATGCTCAAAAAAGAACAAAACTAAAATGAAACAAAACTTGATTTAATAAGTGGAGCTGAAGGCACAGACCTCCTAGGCTTCAAGGGATCAGCAAGTAGACGACCAATTTAGATCAGACATAACACTGACGGTAAGCTCGGGGAAGTGACTGGAGCCTCAAACACTCATGAGAACAGAATTGAGAATAGAAGCTGGCACAACGACTTTAAAATTAGGAAAATTCTCACACCTTGTAATCCAACAATTTCATTTCTGTATCTATATCCTGGGCATATTCTGTGTCTTAATCCTGCACATGTGTGTAGAGATTTTTCCAAGGCAATTGAGTGTAGGTGCTCTGGATCAAGATTTTGTGGGGCAAACCCCAGCTCTGTTGTCTTCAGTCATGTGGCCGTGGTCAATTAGTTAAATTCTCTGAACCTGGATATCCTTATCTCAAGAGGGGAAATAATGCTCACCTCCAGTAAGGATAAAAATAAGATAAACATCTGCAGACTTTTTAGAATGCCTGGCACATAGTAAGGACTCAAATTAGCTATCATGGCTATTTTGGCAGCTGTGGTTCTGTTAAAAAACAAAACAACAGGCCCAAAATGGAATTGCTCATGCTAAACCACACATAACCCAACCAAGACTTAATTACAATTTCAGCTCTCCCAGAAATGGAATCTTGAACGGGTCAATCAAGAATCGCCTGATCAGCATTAACTACGTAACTGCTGAGAGACCCCCAGAGTTCCCTGAAGAAAAGCAACTACGCAATAACCAATCTTTTGGCCTCATATAAATTCCTTCTTCCTGCTCCCTCCTGCCTATAAAAGTCTATAAAACTCTTTCTTCTTGTACATCTCCTTGGAGATCCTTTCGATCTGCTAGATTGGATGCCACCTGATGCAAATGACTTCTGCTCAAAGAAATCCTTAAAATCCTTAATATATCTCAGCTGATCTTTTAACAGTTCTGGCATCAAAAAAGGCAACCACAGGAGCCTCCCTCTCCCCCACTGCTCCCAGGAGCAATGAGCAACCAGAAAGCTACCTGTTGAGCCCCCTGAGCTTGCAGCCTTCTCACTGCCTCTGGAGGTCTCGCTGCTTCTGGAGCGCACATCCTAGCCCTGCAGCTTTGCCATTAGGAGCTTTCAGGCTTCATTGGAGCATTTCTTTTCCCAGACTGGGACCAAACTGGCACAAGTCAGGCTGGCTCTGACCTGGAAACAGGAATGGGTCGCTGCAGACTATGTCCGACTTGGAAACCTGACATGGTCCTGCCAGTCAGGGCCTGACTTGGAAACCGGACTGGGACCAGGGATGGACTGGGTCCGACTTGGAAACTGGACTGGATTTGAAACTGGACTGGGTCTGACTTGGAAGCCGGACCGGCTCCTGAGAAGCACTGTGTCTGACCTGGAAACAGGAATGGGTCCCTGGCGGACTAGATCTGACTTAGAAACCTGACTTGGTCCTGCCAGTCTGAGTCTGACTTGGAAACTGGACTGGGTCTGGGGCGGGACTGGATCCCAGGTGAGGCCTCAGGTGAACAGGCCTCAGGTGTGCCAAGGCTAAACAGGTTAACCTTAACGAAGGTGATCTTGAATTACAGAGGCCACAGTGGAGAATTTTTAAACTAGGTAAACTTACACATTTATAAGGTGCCTAGAGAAAAGAGGGTCTCACTATACAGGGTAGAGGAAAATTTATTTTTCCCCCTCTTCAGTCTGGTGACCTGCACAAGATCCACTGGGACACCGCACTTGCTCCAGAGCTTGCAAACGGGATCCTGGAATATTGGCAGAAGGTGGCAAAGGGTGAGAATTGTTACCAAAGTCAGCTCTCCCAGATCTCTGTGCTGCCTGGGGAGAGAAAAAGATAAAATGTCACATTGGGCCTTCCTTTCAAACTGGCAGGCAAACCATATTTGTAAACATTAGATCTTTGAATTGTGGCTAGTGAATTCGTTTTCCAGTACCCGCTGGTTGCCTATCCTTTCTCTCCCTGGAACAGAGATTGTCTTCTTGCCCTATTTTGTATCCTCTGAAGTTGGCTTGACTTTCTGCCTGAAAGGAACATGCAGATGCTTATATATGCAGGCCCCTCAACAATCAGGCTGGGGGCCCCCCAAAATATGGCTGGACAGAAATCTGTTGCACCCATTTGCAGCTAGAGCCCTACTAACTGTTGCCGGCTCTTAGAGGGGATTCTCTAAGTCCTTTTTTGGGTTACCTTTGGGAGTGGCTCGGGACCTGGGGAGGAAAGAATCTTGCACCTCTTTGTGGAAGCCTCTTGCTTCCATGGAATTGTTTAATACCATCAGGAACATTTATTGTTGTCCCAGCTGAAACCTGATGAGATATTTGAAAAGATTTTAAAAAAATAGCTCTATGGTCAAAGTTGGTTAAACTGGAGACTGATACTCAGAGCCTGATAGGAACTCTTTTTAAGGCCTTTTTCTCTAAGCTAAAATGAAAACTATACCCAAAGGGAAAGAAAAATATTCTAAAGCCTTTGTGGAAGGATTTACTAAAACATTCCAAAGATACATGGCACTACATCGAGAGCACATCTAGGAATCTTTATTTTCATCTTAGTTGAAGATCTTCTCCCCAATTTAAAGAAGCATATATTTTTAAATGTACATTAAAGAGTTATAGACATTCTGTGGACAAGAAATCGGGAATATAATTTTATGTGTAGTTAAGCTAACTAAGATTAAAATGCATGTATTTAAGTTTTTAAAAATTAGTTTTAAAATCAAAAGTACACAGGTATGGAATTAGGATCTGCTTTTCTCTCTGCTCAAAGGACAAAGTTTTCTTAGATTATTGGTCTGCTCTTAATAGGAAATTTTTAAAAGATTATTTTTTAATCTTTTAAGTAAGCAGGCTAGACTGCAAAGATTTGTGTCCTACCAAAATAACTTACTGTGCTTCACAAATCATCTTTATTAGGTTTTGATTACTTAAGGAAACCTAGTCTTCTCAGTATTGAAAGAGCAAAGTTTCATTCACAGACAGCTATGTAACACTCTGTCTTTGCCATCTGCATTTGTTACTTTGGTTTTATTTATTATTAAATTATTTCTCAAAGTATTAAGTATTATTTCTCAAAGATCTGTGATCCTATTTAATTAAATATTCAAACCTTCTGATATTTTCTGAAAATCAAATTCCACATGGAGCTTTTATTTTTTACCTCAAACTAGCTCTGAGATTTCCCAGAGTGCCCACAGAAAATCTCAAAGGATTTGTCTCTCACCTTGTAAAAGAGAGCTGTTGAACTAATTAGGTTTATTTGGTATGTTAAGTTATATGGGAAGCGTTGTCAAATAAGTGATGATAAACCTTCTTAGATTTATTTGTGTATGGATCTATGTTACTAATATAGGTATTCCAGAAACTGAAGTTTCTAGAAATTTGTCAGTACTCTAATTTTCCAGTTATCCTAAATTATTGTATGCTACAGAAATAACTACATATCCTTATCAAATAAACTCTCCTTAGATCTTTAACCAGTGACATTTTTATGTCTTTTGTAATTCTTGGACAGTGATTGTTTTACTCTGATGCTTTTGCTAAACTAACATTCATGGAAAGGACCCTACTAAGTACTCTTGACCACTAACACTGCTGTGTCAAGTTACAAGTCATAAGGTGTCAAAACATGGGTGCATATCTCACAGTGAAGAAGGGTCCACTGGATATCTGGTGCTGTGCCAAGACTGGAGACCTCCAAGTTAAACTGACTAGGAAGAGAAGTAGCTGACATTGAGGTAGCTAAAAACGGCTTCTACAGAAAAAAAAAAAACTAGAAGCCCTTGCATATTAAACACACATATCAATTATAGAATGCCTCCTGGCATTAAAAATGTTAAAATGTTTAAATTCGAGCATATTATATTTGTAGGAACACAATATTTTATGGTCTTTACCAAGTTACATCATTCTGAAATAAAATAAAACACAGTAATAAGGTTTTCGACTTCCTTTGAAGTAGTGGGACAACTTAATGAAATTGAAGCATGTTTATACAAATGAAATTTTGATTTATGCATTGCCCACATTATTAATGCCAACATTAATATCATTGCCAACATTAATAATGCATTTAAAAGTTCTCTGAAAATAAGTTACAACATTTCACTTGAAAGACTTAGATACTTCTAGAGATGAGCTTATTGAACACAGTTACTAAGGGAGTCACTTTAAGGGCTACCACAAGAATACAATTAGTAACATTATCTGGTAAATCAGTTGAAGTAACAATGTACTTTGAACATACTTGAAAAATTAGTCCTTGGACAAAGATACATGAAATCTTTATGGTTAGTTGGGAAAAGAGTAAGGATGTTTGTAGATTGTACAACATGTTCGCCTAGGTTGATTTATTGCTTCATAAAGCACTTGACACATATACAACAGGAGAATGAATTCTTAAGTGTTTAGATCAGTTTTTAACGCACCATCAAATAAACTGGCAAAAATATAGAGACATCTGTATTGATGATGAAAAAGCAATGGCAGGAAGAAACACAAGAGAAGGAGATAAGCTGTTGCCAAAGTATGTTCAAAGAGTCATTGTGTTTCATAGACAAGCACAGGACTGTTAAGAAAATGTCACATCATTGGACATAGTTCTGAATAAAGATAGACTTTCAATATATTCAGATGCACTCTACACTGTAGAATTTTCAGAGTGCAGTCTAATGACATGCATAGTGAAATCAGACGTCACCAAAACTTCCTCCTTTGCTGCCCACCCCTGCGTACAGTGATATGGCTCCTTCCTTCAAATGCAGATCGTGAGTTTGCAAGGGTGCTGTTTTTCTGCAGGAGAGCAGCAGATGTCTAAGTTCTCAATGTAGCAAGGAAGGGAAAGCCATACAGCCTTCCTAGTAATGGAACATATTTCCTTGGACTTATGCAGTTCCAAAAAGGACTACCCCATTCCTCTTTGCTTCTGGCTGGAGATGTGGTGGCTAAGCAACAAAGGCCTCCATGCCTGCTCAGCTCCCTTCTGTATGATGCAACAGGAAACACGGACAGAAACATCAAAAGAAAGGAGGTGTTCTTCTGGAGAGGGGCATGGTACTTCCATGACTTTTCTTGTCAGAAGCAGGCACTGGCTTGAATCAAGAACCTGTCAATCGATTTATTCATTCGTACACTTGTTTATTTCAGTCCAAAAAACTGAGTACCTACTCTGTGCAGTCTGGGTGCTAGGAGCCTTCTGTGAAAGCCCTCTAACCACAAGCCCAAGAAGCCCTACAGCCTGTGAGCCCAACTTAATTCTTCATTTTAATTTTACCAGTGATAGGAATATAGTTTCAGAAATTTTTATATTGAGTTTAAGAGTAAGTCAAAAGGGAGAAAAATCCTTATTTCTTAAAAAGAAACACTGCTAGCTAAACATCTCTCAAACATGGGGAGCCAAATTCAACTCAATTTTGTTGGCTAAACCTCCTCTGGTACCTGCCATAAAGTTAAATTCTAAAGCCCTTCACCAAACACACACACACACACACACACATACACTCTAATTCCAAGAAGCACTGATATGTAAGGTTGATTTTTACTGACATTTTAGGGCAAGATGGAGTGGTGGTTTAAATTATGGTTTAAATCCACATCATAAAGAAAAACTTTCTAAACATCATTGCTGAATGTTTTCCATTTCTCCTTCTGTTCCTGCCTGCCTTTCTCCACCCTGTATGTGTCTTAGAAGGTTGTCCTGTGTTGACTATAACACTGGGCTTTCTTGTCCTGTGGTCCACGCAAGTTCCAGAAAGAAGAGCAAAATAAGAGATGGAGCTCCCGACCCTTTCATTGACCTGTAGGGCTGCTCTATGCCGACTTATTCAACTTCACTCCACAGAAGGCTTCATCCCTTCCTAGTGCAGGGCTCATGGCCTCTGGGTTCAGATCACTGGTCTGTCCCTTAATTTCAAGGAGTGACGATAATGCCCCTTTTTTAAAACTAATTCTACACTATCCTTTACAGTTCCCCTACTCACTGCACATACATCATAATTGATAGTTCCTTTTTTAAACTTCTCAGATTACCCTAATTTGAATGTGTTGTTTCCTGCCAGGATCGTTGACCAATACAATACCCCCTTTCCCCCCAAACTCTTCTATTTGCAGTAGTTCTCACATCTCTGTGTGCTTTGCAGCCTCTCTCATTCCTGCCTCATATATCATCTTCCCGATGGTGCTGCACATGCTGATCCCAGTCTGTACATGCACACGTGCACACACACACACACACACAGACACACACACACACTTGTATGCACACACACCGCTCATCTAGGAGTTTTAACAAAATCTGCTTATTAGCTTAAAGTACAACA